AGCCCACCTGGAGAACAAGGGAATACATTTCAAGTTCAGCAATCAGGAGCCCACCTAGAGAACAAGGGAATACATTTCAAGTTTCAGCAATCAGGCGCCCACCTGGAGAACAAGGAAAGTACAATTTAGATTTTAGCTTTCAACTTTTTAATATTTGATAATATGATGCCCAGCTACCAAACTGGGGCAGAAAATTTTCTTTGTTTTGTCTATTTTGTCGAAGTCAGGAGCCCGCCTGGAGAACTGAAGCATACATTTCAAGTTTCAGCAGTCAGGAGCCCTCCTGGAGAACAGAAGCATACATTTCGAGTTTCAGCGGTCAGGAGCCCGCCTGAAGAACAGAGGAATACATTTCAAGTCAACAGTCAGGAGCCCTCCTGAAGAACAGAGGAATACATTCAAGTTCAGCGGTCAAGCATCACTCGGAGAAAGGGCAAAACATCTCAGATCACAATTCAAGTCAGCAACAAAGGAGGCTTGCGGAAAGAATGCAAGTCAACAGTCCGAGACGACCAGCGGGAAATTGGTCACAATCCAAAATAATAAAAGAAGAGGAGAAACAAAAAGAAGGCAAAAACGAATCCAAATGCAAAAGTAGAGAAAGATGTGAATTGCTTAAGACATGATTGGAGTCACAAGCATGGTGTGGTGTCTGGGTTTGGTCCGAAAAGCTGAGGAAGAATGAATTAGCACCTGCAACTATCTAGCGTCAAGGTTCAGATCCAAAGTCTGCATGAAGAATCATTCAAGACTCAAGATCAAGCTTCAGAAGACTTATAGATAGGAATCTTGTAACTTGTAGTTGACAGGCTTAGCTAGTCTTTTTCATGTTTTGATTTTTTGATGTAATAACAGGACCGCAGACCGGAACCTCGACGAAACGGCACCTCGACCGGCTCTTCACCTCGATATACTCCATCACCTTACTCACATCTGAACTACACGTGGCCTGATTCCTTTATAGCCAAGGATATGTAGGCAGCTCAGATACCAGGGCTCGGTCACATTCCCCTTTACTCTTAGTTTTAGTCTCTCCAAATAAGGGTCGGGTCAAAAAAACCTGTCTAGTCATTCTTTGTCTGAAAACTCTTCGTGTTTCCAGTCAAAGAGGGGCAGCTGTAGACATGTGATTTTTGACCCTCCCCAAGATTTTTCATATTTTAGCATGTAAATATTTAATTTAGGCCTAATAGCGCTATTTCAATTAATTTTGACGCTTTTACTTTATTTTATTACAAGAAAATGAAAATTATAAAAAATATTTTAGTTTATGCATTTTTCATAAATTCAAAAAAACACATAAATAGTACCTTATTTTTATCTTTATATAATTTCAAAAACACAAAAATAGTTTCATGTCTAGTTTAATTAATTAGGATTAGCTTTTGCATTGTGTAGTATTTCTATCTTATTAATTTTTTTTTTAAAAAAAAAAGTCATTGTGTAGTCGAGGATAGGAAATCTTTTAATAACAGAAATAGAAGCTTCTAGGAGGCTTGGATGGGGTCATCTTTGGAATTTTTGAATTGCATTGGCTTTTACTTGGGCACCAAGTCACAAAATGAGGGACTAAAGGGCAAAAACAAAATGTGAGGATGCCCTACTTTCTTGTCTATAAAAGGCATCAAAAACTCCATCTTCTTCACGAGATAAATCCATTAATATCACCTTAAGACCAGCAATGAACGACTCTTGAAAACCAGTCCAAACCCAGCTGAAAGTCACCCTAAAACACCACCTGAAACACATTAAACCAACGGGAATAAAAATCAACTCGAAGCCATCAACCTCCAAACCTCGTCGTATTTCGTTGTTGCTCGTTCTTCATCCTCTAACACGAGAATATAGCATGTCGACCTAGGTTCCCAACGAGTCCGAGTCGAAGTGTTCCGGCGAGCTTTCCGACAGATTCGTGGTTCCATTGAGTTTGTCCCCTGTCCAAAATACGTTGGAGTCGATCCAAGGAATGCGCTGAGTTACGAGATTTTCCGGTGAGTTTTCCATGTTCTAGTCGCGATTTTGCTCGTTGTTGAGTTTCACAATAATAAAAGTCAGATCCTTCATTTGAGTTCTACTCTTCGTCTTTGTTNGGGACACTATTTTCGGGGTCAGTTGGCAAATTGACGTTGATGGCCACCTGCGAGTTAGCATTGACCGGATCGACAACTGGGACACCGTTGGGATTAGCAAAGGGCACCTTGTTACTAGGCACCAAATTATTATTTTCACCGTGATGGCCTGACTCAGCGTCAATGTTCAAATGAGCAGACTGAGAATTTGACATTTTTGGGCTGACCTGAAATCAAGACTTCAAAGAACAAGCGTAAAATAGGGTGTGTTGTGGAGATTCGTATCAAATTATCACTATTATCCTTAGCCTCACGGTGGGCGCCAAACTATTTACCCCAAAATTAAATAATAATAAATTTATAGGTGATTTTAAGGATATGAGATTTAATCTAACACGGACAATTAAGAATATCAAATAAATGAGTTAAAAATGAAATAAACGTTCAAACTAGTTGCAATTTTATGGTTAAGTCTGAGCTTGGATCGCCCAATAACCTCGTCCTCGATTGGACCCTCGGTTCAACCCAGTCATGAGGGAAGAACATAGCAAATGAGCAAAGACTTTTATAATAGCTAAAAGACAGAGAATAAACTTGTATTGCTTTGATTTGCGTGCTACATTCTGTCTTACAAAAGAAAAACTTCCCATTTATAATTAAGGGAAGTTTCATCCCTAGTACAAAAGGTAAAAATCTTCTCTTCCCAGTAATTACTGATCCATAATCGACATCGAGCGAGATTCGCGCCGTGATATCCGATTGGGCGTGAATATCATGGCCCTCTATTCGTAACTGTTCACCGTATTTCCCGAAGTCTCAGAGCTCATTCTTGGCCCGTCGCTTTACCGTACCCGAGGTCAAGCACATGTTCATTCTCCCTAGATCGGATACGAAGGGTCTTTAACCTCGACTACAATCTCGTGCGTCCGTGCCCTTCCTCTGTTTTCTCACCGGGAAATCGGGGTTGACGTTACCCCCGATTTTAGCCGTACACAGATCTCATTTTGAGACGAATTAAAGAACTTTAATACTATATAGTATGAACAGATTTGAACTTTAACATAGCAATACACGACATTCCATTTAGTTTATGCAACTAGCCAAAAGGATTTCCAGAAGCAAGCCATTAGTTAGCAGATTAATAAATTGTGTGGAGCTTGGCAATTAAAAGTTGTGATTAACTGATTATGATCAATTGGTCATCCCTTCCTCTGAAATTTATATTGCTAGTAATATCTTACTAATTGATGGAAAAGTTACTGGTTTTACATGGCAGTGATGAAATGAAATGAAAAGCAGGAAAAAATGGCATTATCACATGTCAAACAGCTTACATCAAGCATAAGATAGTCCGAGATGATGTATAAAGCTTTACAACATTGCGATAGGCAAAACTTTACAAAATGATGGAACCAAAGAACATAAATAGATATGAACATCCAATGATCCCAAGAGAAAGTTGCAGATGAAATCCTAGAATAAATATGTCCATGTAGGTCAATGCCTATGCTCCTTTCTCCTAATACATTTGCAAACCACCAGAAGCAATTGATAATGCAAAATTATATTTAGCATGTAATCCTACAGTAAAAGGTAAAATGTCGAGAGAAAGAGAGACAGACAGATCAGATATTCTTACACTTCTTAGCTCTCAGGAGACTGGAAGAATCTGAACAATCAACAAACCAAGAACCTTTATAAACATTTTTAGAAACCTTGCGCAATTCAGGTGTGACAACTAACACTCTCCTGCGTGTATGTAACCCAATTTTGAAGTTCAAATGTTAACTTGCAGATGTGGAAATAGAGACTGTGATACCATATGAAAGAATCTGAACATGCAACCAAAAACCTTAAAACAACGAGTACTGAGTAGAGTAACCTAAGATATTTATAAACCCTTCTGGAAGCGTTACCAACTATAGATAAGTCTAACTACACCTGACAACTATATAACTCAACAGGGACACAACTATAATTAGGTGGTGTGAATTAATGTTGTAAATTCAACAAGGACAATGATAAGGAGCTATCTGGAAGTATTTCTCAGACCGAACTCTTTCCTATTATAAAATGGAAAGCATAGTTCAATCAAGAAGCATATAAATAAAGTATTTGAACTGTTTTAGCAATGTCAAAGTTAGGTCTACATGTATTCATACAAATTAGCTTGCTTAGTATTTTTGGATAAAGAGATCTGAGTCTTCATAATAATGTCCAAGCCTCAACCAATTAGGTGAACAGTTGCTCATATTTCAACCACAAACTACACGAAAAACATTAACTCCAATGTCCTCTTTGCATGCTTTGATACCCCAAAACAAGGATACTCCAATCTTGAATACTATCTCAAAATGAATTTAACCTGGCATGTACCATAGTTGCAGTGGAAATGCTAAAATTTGACAAAGCTAATCAGCACATAGTTATCTTGATAAAACATGCAAAGGAATGAGACAATTTATATGCAAGTAAAGATATTCATCTAGTCATGCTAAGGCATTGTGATGATATATATGAATTTTGAACCACATTCATTCATGATGTATTTCTTTTTCTTTAGACACTAGATTATTTGCAGAATTGGATCAGTCACTCAGCCTAGACACCAAGAACCAGAAAATAAGCCATCTTAAGTGAGATAGGGTAATTCAAGAAACGAGTAAATGTCAGCCTATTTGTCAGTAACTGAGCACTGTACCATGAGATTCTTCAAGCTAATCTCTTAGACATCTCTCTAATGCAGCACAGAGCTTCTTCTTCTTCTTTTTTTTTTTTTGCAAGCTTTATATTGTGCTCAGTTTATTCACTTTAAGATTGTATATTTAATACAGTAACCTCAGTAATTACAGCTTCCACTCTTACTTCTGTCTTCCTGGATTAATCCTGAGATGGATTCAAAGATGGACATTATCGAAATATAGCATCATATCAAGAACGTAGAGAAAAAAATATGTTATGTTTACCAGTAGTCACCACAAGAACAAACACCATTTTCAAAATGGTGAAACCTATTCCGATCTCTTACAACAATTCTCCTCTGTGTAATCTTAGATATAAGCTTAATAACTGAATGGCAGTCATTGCAAACTCTAAGATTTTTAACAACTCTTATAGTGGTACATGGTTTGGTAGATATCAAACCATAGCATATCGCAAGCCTTTCGCTGTGTATGCTCAAGGCCCACTTTTTCTCATGTTCTTCAATATCTTGTGAGATGACATCGGTTTCTGGAGCATAATCTTCTGATTTCAGCATATCGTTCAGCTCCTTCAGTTTATCGTATATTGCTTCCCTTTCGGGGTGTCTAATGTCTCCCAAAAGGAACTCATGGATCTCATTTTTCACTTCAATTGAACTACAACCTGGTTCCTTTTGGACGCCTTCTTCTCTCAACTTTGCTCTCACTTGTGCTGCTTCCTTAAATTTACCCAGTGATGCATAGACATTAGACAGAAGAATATATGTTCCAGAATCGGCAGCACCATACTGCAGTAGAATTTTTGCAACCCTTTCTCCTAGTTCAAATTTTTTATGAATTCTACAAGCACTTAACAGCGATCCCCAAATTATATTGTCTGGAGCAATATTGGCTCTTTGTATAAAATCATAAGCCTCCTGAAGACGTCCTACACGACCAAGAAGATCAACCATACACCCATAATGTTCAATTCGTCGTTCAATCCCATATTCAGTTTCCATACTTTCAAAGATGTCAAATCCAATGTCCACTAACCCACCATGACTGCATGCATTCAAAACAGCAGAAAATGTTATACTTGTTGGTTTAATTCCTTCATGTATCATTCTTCGGAACATTTTGATAGCCTCTATACTCTTACCATTCAATGCATATCCCACAATCATAGAATTATAAGTGGTCACATCTCTAGCTTCCAAGCCTTCAAAAAGGCTAGCTGCCTCATCAATATCTCCACACCTCGAATACATGTTCACCAAAGCTGAACCAACTATATGATTAACTTCAATGTTGTACTTATCCACATACGAATGAACCCATTTACCAAGTTCTAGTGCTCCCAAGTGCGCACAAGCCGATAGAACGCAAACAATTGTGACTTCATTAGGCTTCACACCTTCCCTCTGCATTTCTCTGAATAACTCCAATGCCATATTCATTTCACCATTTCTAGCTAACCCATCAATCATAGCTGTCCAGCAAACATTATCCTTGGTAGAAACCAGCCGAAATTCATCCATCGCCTCATGCAATAATCCATGATCAAGATAACATGATATCATAACAGTGGAGCCAACAACATCTCTTTGAGGCATTTCATCAAACACCGTCTTTGCTTCACTAAACTCTCCGCATTTTCCATAAAGCTCCACTAGCTTTAACCTCACGAATCTGTCCGAACACAATCCCAATTTCATGGCCTGGCAATGGATTTGTTCACCACTGTTCAAATCGAGAGCAGACCCACATGCTTTCAGGACCAAAGGGATAATATAATTATCAGGTAAAATGAAATCTCTAACCATTTGAAAATAAGTTCTAATTCCATCACCATAAGCACCCGAAGAGATAAACACGTCAATAAAAGCAGTATAGAGAAAAACATTCGGGTTTGAGGTATTTCGAAAGATCTTGGAAGCGTATTCGATAGAGCAGCTTCGAGAACATACTCGAAGAAGCTCGAATAAAATAAAGGGGTCATTTTGATTGCCATTCTTGATTATATGAGCGTGAATTGGAGCTGCCTGTTTTATGCTTTTGGATTTCTGTAATTTGATGAGAAGCTGCTTTCGATCTTGGAAACTGTAAGGATTTGAGTTCAAAAATGGCGGGGACAGATGAGGTGACGCGGTGGCGCCTAGCATGAAGGCAACTTATCCGAAACGAGTAAGGCGATTCTTTTGATTGAAAACAACTGTGTTAAGCATGAGATTAACGTCTTGTTTATTCGTCTTCCATTTTTCATCGTATTTCTTATGTGACAAAGTTACTCTAATGTTCCACTAATCTTGGAACTATATGTGACATTCTTTTTTGCAAGTATCAAATTTTTTTGGTGAGTGTCGAAAAGAAAAGAATGATATATCTTTGCTCATAAGTTATCACATACTTTATGAGTATAAAACAATATAAATAAATCACGGGAAAATCATAGCAAACCGTAATAATCCATTGGACCAAATGAAGGAAACGAAAATAAGTGCTCAACTTTTGGAAGAGAAATATAAAAGCTTGTATNTATATATAGTAATTGATTACTTTATTTGGATTAATAAATATAGATATCGTATAATTAAATATGATAAAAAAAACAACGAAAAATAAATATATAAAAAATAACTAACCATTCAAATTGGGTGGGAGTAGTTTCAAGTTTGAGTTTTTAAATTATTTTAAAATAAAAACCAAAAAAATAATTACCAATAATAAAACGAAAAAAGAGAAGAAAAACTACCCATTCAAATCGGGAAGTAGTTTCAAGTTGGAGTTTTCAAATAATTTTAAAATAAGAAATAAAATAATAAAATAATGAATTACTAATTCAAATTGGGGAGTAGTTTCAAATTGGAGTTTTAAAATTATTTTAAAATAAAAGAACAAAAATCTATTTATATATATAATATAATATAGTATAAATATAGTATATAATATATATAATTGGAGAGTCAAAGAAATCTATAATTATATATATAATAGGAGAGGCAAAGAAATGTTATAATGACAAGTGTCATACTTTCTATTAACAATATAATTATACTAAATATTGGATAATATAATAAATAAAAATACATAACGAAAAAATTATTTGATGACTATATAAGTCCCTTTAATTTAATAGAGATTTTATTTATTAAAATTTAGACAATATCTATTCTATTTATATATAATAGGATAATCAAGTAATTGTAATAATTCCAAATGTAACATCAAAAAATTAACAAAGTGACAAATATTTTTTTAATATCAACCGCGCATCGCGCGGGTACGACTACAGGTTAAACCATAATTTGTTCAAAGTGTGAACACAGAGCAGCATTTGCTTCCGGTTTATCCACGTGTCAGTTTATACAGAACGTGACGTGCTCCTTATAAAAAGAAGTACTTAAATAAACTAATAGTACTTGAATCTTTGATATCGAGGACCACAATCATTCCAATGGCTCGTTTACTAAAAGTAAAAATTACTCCCTCCGCTTCACGATAAGTGTCTAATGCGCTTTTTCATTTTGGATCAAAATAAGTTTCCAGTTATGTAATCAAAAAAGCATTCAATTTATTTTTATAAAATAAAACCTATGTACATATCCCTAAAAAGTTTTCTTACTCCTCAGATTAAATGTTTAATTAGGGATAGTTTAGTCATAGTAGGTATTTTTATATAAAATTTAGTATTTTCTTAATGGACGTACTAAAAGCAAATTAGACACTTATTGTGAACCGGAGGGAGTATAATTTAATGAAACACTTTAAATGGAAGTTTCTTTGCTTCCTATTAAATAAAAAACAAAAATAAAAAGACCCATCAGTTGTTACATTTAACTGCAACGCTACTACCAACCTGAGGTCCTCAACCGACAATACTATTGTTTAATAGTTCTAATTATTAATTAAAACTATGCTCTGAAATCCATTAAACTGGAATCAAGTGTGTTTCTTAACTGTCGAGTCATCAATTTAACATAACTATAGTGATAAACTTTTGGATTTAAATATAAATAAGAAATAAGATGTATAACTTTTTACACTAAACATTTGTTATTTAATAATTATCCAATTAATTTGTAGTTTGACTTTGACAGAGTCAATGATTTTAAAGCACGCAAATCCAGGGATTCCTTAGGATTCGGATTTATCGCTTTCTCTCGTCTACCATATGAGGATTGAGGAGTAGCACTCTTGCCATGTAATAGACGCATTTGAATTGTTGAGAGAGCAAGAAAAAATTTAGCACTGGTAGTTATTTAAATTTAATGATTAAATTAAATTATATTAATTTGATAATTTATGATGAAAATATATATCAATAGTTGATATTAAAATCTAATAAAATATTAATTAAATCTTTTCGAAATATCAGACTCCTGCAGTGTTAGACAATTACTATTCATTGTATCCACTTTTTGGTAGTTCCTCTTATATTGACTCTAAAGTACTATAAGCAAACATTTTATATATATATATATATGTTTGCTCAAAAGTTATCGCATACCTTATGAGTATAAAACAATATAAATAAATCACGGGAAAATCATAGCAAACCGTAATAATCCATTTGACCAAATGAAGGAAACGAAAATAAGTGCTCAACTTTGGGAAGAGAAATATAAAAGCTTTTATTCATAATAGTGCTTTGGTCTGCCTCTCCATGAAGAGGTTCAGAGCCTTACAATAGTATTCCATGTATGTGCATTGTTCTCCCTTTTCTCTCTCCTCTCAATAGTTTTCGAAGAAGGCCCCCCTTTTCCAGGGTTTCCTCTCTTGGTATTTATAGCTGTGAGCTTCGTGAGCTGGCAGTAAGTGGCCGTGACCACGTTGGGGGTTTCGTCTTCATGATGACGGACGGGCCGTGGCCTTGTTGATCTAATCAGGTAAGGGTTGAATATCGTTAATTCTGAGTGGACGTACCTCTAATTAATCACGAATTAGCTTAAGACGGGATTAGCTTCGTTAATTATCGTGGGGTCGGATTCTGACCCATACAATATATATAGTATATATTTAGAGCCTGTTTGGATATAATAATTTTTTCACTTTTTGTAAAAAAAAAAAAAATTTCCTTGAAATCAGTGTTTGGCCATAAAATTTTTCAATTTTCACTTGAAAATGAATTTTGAAAATTTTCGAAAATTTGAAAAAACTCCAAAAAACTATTTTTCAAAGTTTTCACTCAGATCACTTACAAAAATTCAAAAACAACACCAAAATTATATTCATGTCCAAACACAACTCTATTTTTTTTAAATACCATTTTCACTTAATTCTTTTTTTTTTTGGAATTTTAAAATTCTTATGTCCAAACGCGCACTTAATGATGTTTTAATTTTCAATTTTTTATTTTACACTTAATGTTATAATTTATCGCTACATAAATTTTTATGGCTTGTTTACCACATACTTAATGTTATAATTTATCGTTACAATTTTTTATTTTACACTTAATGTTATAATTTATCGCTACATAAATTTTTTATTTTACACTTAATGTTATAATTTATCGCTAACCTTTTAAGTTAAAAGGTTTTTTTTTTCCATTAAATTCGGTATCCAATTAAATATCATCACATAAATTGGGGTGAAGGGAATATTATGATTTTAGTATAAAAAATATAGCCGATACTTAGTTGCTAATATCCATAATCAAATATTCAATAAAAATATAATACTAAATTTTATATCGAGATTAATATCATGTTCCGGATAATCAAACGATCTCGTATAATTTTATGAGTCAAACAAATTTTTTCGAATTTTTTTTTTCGTACTTACTATATTCGATCTTATATAACTTTATTTTCTTATTAGCTCGTCTCAAGAAAGAATGATAATTTTTATTATTTACTAATAATTTAATTTTAAATTTTTTATTTGTCTTATGAAAAAAATTATATAGCCACACAAAACTATTTAAATCAATAAGTTTCAAAAGTCTTATAATCACACAAATATTACAACATGTTTAAATCATAAGTTTCATAATTTTTATTAACTCGGTACTAAATCAAACTCCATCACGTAAATTACATGGACGAAAATAGTATTTTAAGCATATATAGTACTACTACTTATGTGTGTTTTCTAGATATGTAACTTCCATTTTACAAATTAAGAAATTAACACGAAATTCACACGGACAATAGTATAGTCGGAAATTTCGTCAAGGGTGTTCAAACTTCAAACGAGTTAGTAAAAAAAAATTATTTATGAATGGTATACAAAATTTTTTTAGATCATACTACGCAACATTTATAGCTAAATGATGAAGCTAATGTGTATAGGACTTTCTGTTCGTACTTTGTCAAATTCTAGTATAGTTTATGATATCGTCCCACAAAGATTGGAGAATCTAAGCTACATATTTGTAATATTTTAACTACTATTTGAGAAAATCAAATTAATAAAGGTGTGTTTGGGATTATAAATTAAAACAAATTACTTCCGATATATTTATATTTAAAAAGAGTTGGGAAGCGTTGAATTCACTTGATATATCATTACAATAAACCCTCAGTTTTACACGTATTTGTCTAAAAAATAATTGCTTATTGCTAATACAATTATATTTTTACACTAATGAATAAATAAATAATTAACACTCTGTGAGGCTATGTCACGATCCAAAACCAATAATAGGTCGCGATGGCACCTAACGCCGCCATTAAGTAAGCCCACAATTAAACAACAATTTAATTATCCCCTTTTTAACACTTAGGGTGTGTTTGGTATAACGAAAAATATTTTCCAAGAAAATATTTTCTTGGAAAACAAGTAGTAATCTTATTCATTTTCCGGTGTTTGGTACGCAAATTAAGGAAAATGACTTCTCAAGAGTATTCATAAATAATTTAAATATAATAAACATGAAGCGATAAACTTTCAAACTAACAACCTTCCGGACCCACAAGTTTCATAAACTTTCGAACCGCTAAACTTTCAAAACCGCGGAATTTCAAACCCGTAAACTTTATAATTTCTAAACCCGTAAACTTCCAAACACATAAACCTCCGAACTCATAATTTTGGAACTTGTAAAATTTTGAGCCTTTAAACCGATAAATAATAAAATTAAAACTGAAAAATATATTTAAATTTATTTTTTTGGGGGGGGGGGGAGGGGGGGCAGGGCGGGCTGGGGGAGGGGCAGTAAACAAAAAACAGAATTAAATTACAAAAATAGAATTTTTTTTAGTGTGTGGGGAGGGGGGGCGAGGTGAGGGCGAGGTGGGGGGGGTGGTGCAGAAAATGAAAAACGAAATTTGAAATTGAAAAAAAAAGGTAAACTTTTTTTTTTTGCGCGGGGGGGGGGGGGGGTTGAAAAAAAAAAACCTTTT